ACTATGGAAGATATACATTTATTGAGAGGTTTGATGGAGAAGTTCAGAGATAATAAGGATAATCTAAATTTGATTTTTATTGATTTAGAAAAAGCTTACGATAAGGTTCCAAGAGATATTGTTTGGAGAGTTCTTGAGAAGAAAGGTGTTGATATGACTTATATTCAAGTCATTAAAGATATGTATACTAGAGCTGTTACTTGTGTTCAAACTGAAGGAGGATCGACTAAATATTTTCCTATTTCTATTGGATTACATCAGGGATCAGCTTTAAGCCCATAACTTTTTGTTTTTGTTATGGATGGTCTTAATGGACTTCGACTAGAGTATGTACCTTGGTGTATGCTTTTTGCTGATGATATCCTTCTCGTGGATAAACCGAGAGAAAAAACCCAGAAAAAATTTGAATTATGGAGGTCTAAATTGGAGTCTGAAGGCCTTCATTTAAGTAGAACTAAAACTGAATACATGGAATGTAATTTTAGTAGTAGTAGTAGCTCTAGTGACAGAAGTGTGACTTTGGGTTGTTGTTGTTGTTGTTGTTGTTGTTGTTGTTGTTGTTGTTGTTGTTGTTGTTGTTGTTGTTGTTGTTGTTGTTGTTGTTGTTGTTGTTGTTGTTGTTGTTGTTGTTGTTGTTGTTGTTGTTGTTGTTGTTGTTGTTGTTGTTGTTGTTGTTGTTGTTGTTGTTGTTGTTGTTGTTGTTGTTGTTGTTGTTGTTGTTGTTGTTGTTGTTGTTGTTGTTGTTGTTGTTGTTGTTGTTGTTGTTGTTGTTGTTGTTGTTGTTGTTGTTGTTGTTGTTGTTGTTGTTGTTGTTGTTGTTGTTGTTGTTGTTGTTGTTGTTGTTGTTGTTGTTGTTGTTGTTGTTGTTGTTGTTGTTGTTGTTGTTGTTGTTGTTGTTGTTGTTGTTGTTGTTGTTGTTGTTGTTGTTGTTGTTGTTGTTGTTGTTGTTGTTGTTGTTGTTGTTGTTGTTGTTGTTGTTGTTGTTGTTGTTGTTGTTGTTGTTGTTGTTGTTGTTGTTGTTGTTGTTGTTGTTGTTGTTGTTGTTGTTGTTGTTGTTGTTGTTGTTGTTGTTGTTGTTGTTGTTGTTGTTGTTGTTGTTGTTGTTGTTGTTGTTGTTGATCTGATGCTTGTAATCGTATTTCTATAAATAGGAATTGATGGCTTGCATTTTGGATAGATTTTGATGAATGAAATTGTTTGTGAGGCCAATCCAATGCTCTTTAGATCCAAACTGTGTATGCGGATTGGTCTAACTTGTGTATGCATAGGTTCTTCACTCCCCTTTTAGGAAAGTTTAAGTGTCAAAACATAAATTTGATGTGAGAAAATTTAATCTCAATACTTTAAAACTAACTTCCAAGAGCTTTGTGCTGCCCACACAAATTTACCTCAAAATTTGTAGAATTTCAATTATCTGCATATCCCCATCTCTAACGCCAAAGCATAATTACCCAATTCTATAACCCTGAATGCAATCTGCATCTTCTCTATTCCGCTCTATGCTCGGCTCCAATTAGTTGCTTGTGCTACACATCCTACTCGTCCATAATTATCCATACCTTTGAAATTTCATTCGCATGCAGTTGCGTTCGTTATATGTCTACTTCACCTATTTTTCTCCCACTATTCTTCCTAAACTGCCTGATGTAACCAAAGTTTGCCACTCAAAGAGTCTATTTATATTATTTGTAATTATTTGCGAAAGTGAGCTATAAAACTACTTCCATTACAAAAATTTTAGGAAGTTGCAAAGAAGTTGTAGTCAAATGTGAAACCCCTCAAGTTGAATGAAGCTAAAATCTCAAACATTGAGACATGTTTTGTGCCACGGTTGGAATTTTATCAGAAATTCCAAAGTTACAATGTTCTCGTACACGAGTACTTTCTAGATTGGTGACCTCCTAGGAAGTTATACCATTGGGATAAAATCATTGGTCCATTAAGCCAAATCAAACAATATCTCGTTAAAATTAAATATAAAATTTCTTAAGGACTTGCCCTTCTCCTGACTTATCTTTAACAACATCTATGAATTTTTAATGACTTTTGAGTACTAATAAATTAGGTGATTACTTCTTTTAATTAAATAGATGTGGTGAAACTTTTGAACAGAAGATAGGATAACGACCTAAGTGACTATTACTTGAAGTTTGCTGATAACAATTGAAATTTTTTAACATCATTAATGTTATTAGTGAGATAATCAACTTAAAATAAGTAACATGCTTGGTTGGATACATTTTCCCCTTTTACGAAATCAAGTGCGAAATTTTCAACTTTCATGGAGGTATTGCCTTGACAAATTTATCTGGAAAATGTGTTTGTCGAATTCTGATGATGCTTTTCAATCTTTATTGATTTTGGTGCCAAGGACATGC